ATGTGTGTATTAAGCCCTCCATTACATCGTTACACCGGCCGTGTTACCCTTTGCTCATAGTTCAAAATAGCCCTTACGCATACATACACAAACGATGAATACCAAAAAGTTTGATTCAATGAATTGATTTGCGCTAAACACAAATTAATTTTTTTCATTTTCTTTTTGATAAAGCTAAGGTATTTAGCACAGCTCGAATAGGTTCTAATGTAAATTTCAATTAATTATATGCTAAAACACAGTGTTAAGATAAATTTTAGCCGTCTGAGTGCTCGAGTAAGCAAAAGATCTCGACTAACAATTTCAATGATCGTAGGTTCAAGTCTCAAATGCGGTAGAGTTTTCAATAAAGTCGATAACGTGAGATGCTGATAGTACACAGTTTAACACTTGGGACTTAAAATTTATTTCTCTGACTAATTAATTAAAATAATAATAAATTTTGAAAAATCGTGTTCAGCAAAAGCCGCAAATTCCACATAATACCATAAGTAAATGAATAAGAATTTGTTTGTTTTGTTTTTACTAACCTTATAGTAAGTAGATCATGGAATATATTCCACTATTCAGTTTTAGATCCCACACACAATACTTTTCTTTCTATTATAGATATGGCCACAAATTTCTATCTCAGTTTGCGCGAGTAAGAGAGTCAAGTATATCGACGCGCTGATGAATATAGCCAAAGAAAGAAACAAGTTATCCAATCTATTCTTATGAAATAAGCACTGAAGTGTGAATTTTGTTATCTTTTACTATCACCTGGCTTATAGGCAGAAAGAATATATTGTCCATACAACGCTCTGTGAGAAGGGAAGGAATTCTTTGAGAAACCCAAGCCCATCGCTATATTTTTTGTTAAGGAACACCAGTTGAAATAGTCTTTTAGACCGACTTGCATACATACATGTCAACACTTAAACACTTACAGTCAGCGAAATGGTAATGCACAATATATATCAACACTTATACACTTACAGTCAGTGAAATGTTAATGCAGCCAGCCAGTCGTATATCGATCAGATCGAAGAAAAGCATGCTAAAAAGGTTATCATGCGATATATTGAAAATAAAACGCGTAAAGAGATTATAGCCGGGCAAGGCCGACTATCAGATACCCTGCACTATTTTGCCTAGTACAGTTATTCACTCGTTTTGGCAATGATACAACAAAATTCACACATCATTTTCATGCAAAGGCATAGTTTTCATCAAAGCCCATCTATTAGAAGATACCTAAAACATCATATGATGTGATCCAAATTTAGCAAACTTCATTTACTTCCAAAAAATTGTATTATTTTTCAATTTCCGTTACAGAAAATTAGAAAATTTTCGTAATAACGTACCTTTACCGATATTAGGATCTAAACGTTAGATCCAAATGATTCAAATTTCCTATTATTAATTTCATCGTAAAATATTAAAAATTAAACCTTTTTCTGAAGAGCTTACTACTCATGAGAAATCTTACGTGACGTGGGGTCCAAGAATTAGATCCGTGTGGTTTAAATTTAGTTCACTTCACTATAGTTGAACAAGTTTGCATCATAAAGGATTAAAAATTAGGCCTTTTGACATATAAAGGTTTACGTTTCGTGAGAATCCTTATACACGATGTTATGGCCTACGTAGTCCAAATTGCGTATGGTTGATTTCTTTGTCAATTCATTGCTATAAATCACCATTCATCGACCATTTAATATTGAAAATTAGACCTTTTCATAGGAACGGTTATATGAGAGCGGATTTAGAGAGTTTCGCCAGCCAAACCAAATTTTTCATATCCGAAGTACTTAGTCGAAGTACTATTGCACAATGAATTTTGTCGATAGATTTTGAAAACTACTTTTCAAAACAAGACGTTATATGGGAGTGATCAAAAACGTAGACCGATCCGAATCATTCTCAATAGCGTTTGTCCTTGGGTCCAAGCAAGCAAAACCGCAAAAATTTCAACGTATAGCTTGAATATATAATAAAAGATACGTCTGGGTGTTAATCATGTCCGTACAAAGTTAATATACTTTGGTGTAGGGTATCAAAATCAATATCAATGACTACAATTTGATTTAAATACTTCGACTTGGAATGATTTCAAAGTAGCAACCAATGACAAAAAAATTGAATTCTATTACTTTCATATTAGGTTTCGTTCCTCAACTATATATAAAACTTAAATTCTTCATATCTGCCAGTAAGTAAAGAGAAAATTTCTTTAATAGCGATTTTGTTTTTTTATTTCTTGAAATATTGATGTATTGAAAAATTGTACTCAATTAGTTAATTTTACTTATATTTTAATTTAGCGGACATTAGTGGGCTGCGGAAAGAGCAATTTTCCATAACCTCAATGAAAATATTATTGCTTTAGACTTTCGTTAATTTAAAATCTGACTGCGCTCCCATCCTCTAAAGAAAACTGATTATCATCTGGTAATGATTGCAAAGAAACTTTATTCTATATATGGAGCCCCCTAAGTATTAATTTAATGACTGACTATTTATTATCTCTCCTGCTTTTAGCGTGGTCTAGCTTTTAAATGTGCATTTAAAAAAAAATTTTCAATTTTCATAAAAATCACCCTTTTCGACTGTGTATGTGCAGCGCACATGTGTTTGCCCAAAAACGTGAAAACAATCATTCATGCGACGTATGTAAATCACATACGATTTATCATTTTAATGGTGACACATTAATAATATTTTTGATATAAAAGAGACTTTTGTTTGTCTCCTGAAAAGAAATTTGTTGTTTGGTTGTTAATAAAAAATGACTATAACATTAACTAACTAAACAATAGATGTTTTTGTGGTAAATTGTACGAAAATTGAAATACATTAGTTGCATGTTTATTTATTGTCTGATAGAAATGACTTTTATATGCCTGATGTATCCACCATATATATACCATATATATACTTACTAACTATACATATATATATATATATATATATATATATATATATATATATATTTTAAGAAAATATTTTGGGCACTACAAAAAAGAGTTATGGAAAAAAAACAAAAAAAAAAAATAAAATATAAATAAATAAATAAAAAAATAAATAAATAAATAAAGTAAGGGTTCATGATGAGTGCTTGTTGTACATGGATATCCAAGTGTGCAGGAAAATAATTTGCAATGGAACAATGTTTGCTTTGCAATGTTTACAAGCAAATACACATATATATGAAATCCTTCTATATATTCTATTGATTATGGATTCAAAGGTCGCAATTTTTACAAAAATAATCACTTTTGCAATTTATAAATGTCTAAGAAATTAGTTATGTTCATTGTGCTAACAAGTCGTACATTGAAGCGCTATATATTAATTCGTATTTCATATCATTGCGTTTCCAAGACAAGAAAGACTGTGTGTTTTACCATATTTATATTAAAATGAAAATGAAAATTTATTTTTGTTTTATCATTCGTTTGTTTATCATGTTCGCTTATGAATGCCTTTAAATGGTTTGCGGGCATTAATTTTCTAAAGGCATCAAATTGCACTTTCAATTAAATTCGAACTCTCACACTCAAATATGCAAATGTACTCGCACTTGCCGGCACATATACACAACTGCATATAAATAACATTCTTAATAGTCGCAAGTTAAGTGCAATCTTAATATATATGTAGGTGTATGCACGTTTTATTTACTATTGCAACGGATATGAGATCTATGGCTAAGGACTGAAACAACTACGAACCCTCAAATACTTCATGCACGTACATATATATATATATATATACAAGGCATTCTCAATTTTTCAATTTTAATGTAAACATACACTCATGAACATCAACATAGCAGCAAGAGTAACCCGTCGCATTACATTTGTATTCCATTTATTTATTCCCTTTAATGGGTGAGAGAGTAAAGGTGAGATGAATTTTTGCAAGCTGCATTGAACCATCAGTGCCGATCTGAAAACAAGTTCTACACTTTGCAATACGACACACTTATGCGATGTGCAACGTTATGACCAGTCCTCAAATAAAGCAATTAAGCATAGAAAACCAAGGTATCGTTATGACTAATACTTTGTAAGGTAGTAATGTAAACATTTTCTTGATGCATTTCGTAAATTGAGAAGGGTAATAACATGAATACTGAATTGATGAGGAACATGAGGAGACGGCAAAGATTGCAGCGAGTCCCAAAGATATATCTCTCAACTTTAAAACTAAACGGCATCTTCAACTAATAAAATGCATTCTTTTCGAAATTATGTCCAGAGTATCAAAGATTCTGCCCCTTTCCTCTATACTTCCCAAAAAAAAAAAAAAAAGTATAGATTTTCAATCGGTATAACAATTCATCGGACAATTTATCGCTCACCTACCGCTCGTTCGGAACCCGTACATATTGATGCCAAATTCTATTTAAAAATGGCCGCGATCCTCTCAGAAACCCATAAATAGAAAGAATTTTCTTACGACTAAGCGCCACAACCACAATTAGAAATATGCTTTGGGTGTATGTACCTATCGACTTTCATTGACAAATACTAAGCCATAATAAGCCATATTTTGAGAAATTTGTTCTGTAAAAAATGAGTATAAACATAATGTTTTCACATATTAAATGAATAAAAAAACCGGAACTTAAGACCTTAACTTAATTAAAGAGGTCCGCTCTTGATACAAAACTAAAGCTAAAGCTACCAAATATAGCGCATAGATAAATGGAAAAATCAAATGAATGATTTTTATCTAATATGTTAGGTATCGGACTAGGACAAGCAGTCTCCCTGCCCGACATAGCAGTTTCCTAGTTGCGTAAAAGAAGAAAAACAAAAAGAAAAGGAACTTCGCATAAACTATCGAAGTTATCGTTAGCTTGACAGCACTATTGTTATTTAAACGAGTTGATAAAAGAGGAAGAGAATTTCGTCATTTATATCTTTTCAGTTTTAATTTCAAACAAATTATTGATATTTTTCAAGAATTTTTTTACAAATTGAATTTCTTAATTTGCTTTAACGGAAATGAGTAGAAAGAGGTCTTACGTCGACGTAAGAAAATCAATGAACAGCATATGTATTTTGTTAATATATATATATATGCATATAAAACTTATCATCCCCTTTAGCAAACCTATGATATATTCTGCGTTAACTTTCATGGCACTGGTCTCGATTCAATAAAGGATGAATTTAAACGTCAAGTGCAAACAGGCCTACGTCGGACTCTTTTCATTATTGATTTAGATGATTTACGTAAAGAAATAAAATCCCGAACCAAATCTTCGAAAGGGCCTCGGCCAACTTTAAACAGCCCCGATCTACCTGTCGTACAAGGAATACAACAAATTGTTGCGGGATTTCGTCGTCAGCATGATGAGATAACACGAAAAATAAGCGACGAATTAAAATTCGATATTTATGAGTATTGGTTACGCGATTTAGATGAAAAACGCAAACAATTGGCGACTTCTGGTGGTACAAGGCGTACAAAGAAAAGTGTAAGCACGCCTACAACAAGTAAAACAAAACTTGGAAAATCATTTAGAAAAGACAGAAAAGGATCGTTATATGATGAACCGATTAATTGCACACCGTTGATTGTGCGCGATCACAATCGTGTTGGCCAAGCAACGATGGCTTCCCGAATGGAGGTTATGTATCTTTTTTTTCATTGTATTATTCATATTTCTCCTTAACCTTATTCAATATTTGCCTAACAATTATTCTCCTTTCTTCTAACTTTAGTATATTATCGATGATCCCACCATAAATAAATTATATGTCGTTATAATTGGCGAAATGAATGACGAATTCTGCACCTACTTGGTTAGGTAAATACAAAAGATGACTAACATATTTACATTCTACGTCTCTTGACGAATTTTAGCCTTTAAGATTATATCGATGAGTGTCTTATTGTAGGTAGGCGTGATAATGCACCGATTAAATTTTTTATTTAAGAAATTGGGAGAAATGATTCTCGATTGAATGAATCATATCCCGTTTTCTAGCTATTTTAAGCATGTTTGTGTATGAACTGAATACAACGGACGGATGGATATAAAATCAACTAATCAAGAATAGAAAGGCTTCGCAGGGAGTCAGCTACGCTTGATAAACTTTCTTGATGGTAACAATAAAAGTTATTTGATCTTAAATTTTGTTTCAGGTTAGAAGAATTTTTAAAAACGATTACTGGGAAACATGCACCAGCAGACTTCCACGTTTGATGTGAAATTTTCAACGAATACATTTTCCTCTACATAACACGAACTTTTCGACGTATAACTTTCCTTTTTAATTTACAAAAATTGATTTTTTCAATAACCAGTAACGGCTGTAAAGCAACGCTTGTACGTTTCAAAACGTATGCTTAGTGTATCTTGTAAAAGACGGAAATTCCTTACAAGAACTCGACAGTTAGGTTCAACTAACATTCCATTAGTATTTTAGGAAAGCATATCTTTTCTTTATGGAACCGTAGCAGGTGCACACCCTCCACCTTCATTATCCAAATCCTTTCTGACCATCACCGTGATTATTGGTATAGTGGATATCTCCTGAGCGACTCAGTGACTTGTAAAAATAAAGAAACTCTCTTATCTCCTTACAGCTAACCAATGTTTAGATGGTAAGCTCGACGATTGGATTTGCCTCTTCACAAGTTTTGTAGTCTTCTGTAGAACGGAGCCTCCGAAACTTACTTTCTATGCCAGCCGTAAGTTTTTTTTAAACATTTCAAGATCGCTCTTCTCCTAACCTCAAAGATAAAGAACAATTAACTGCACGTAATTTGGATAACTAATGTCACTCTCCCTTCACACAAAGCGTACACATTGTCAGGCGGTCCCATCCAATTTAATTAATATTTAATTGCAAAAAGAGTGCTATCGTAATCTCAGTTATTATAACATTCAATTCCTAAGATTATTTCTAGTACTAGTTGCATACGATGCTAGGGCCCTTCTAGATCTACCTTTTTCTCGAAAATAAACTTCCACTTAACTAGCGTGTAAGTCACCCGGAAATGAATTGAAAACGATACTTCGTACGATATGTTGTAGGAAACGTTACGCGTATAACACATAGGTAGTCAAAGATGTGAATAAATGATTTCATACTTTGTCTTCGGTTTCGTTTTCAGGAATGATCTTCCTCTACAGGCAATTGTACACTTCTTACCATCCGAGAGCAACTATGACATATTATTGGGTAACAACAAACGGAGCAAATTCATAATTGAGACCTTGGAAAAGATATCCGCACAAATTTATGAACAGAGGAAGGAAGCCTTGCTGAAGAACATCGGTATCCTAACTCATTACTTACCAGTTATATCTACTTGTATGGCCATCAAGTATGCGCGCGATATATTCGATCAATTGTCTTGGGGTGTCTACGATATTGAAGTTTTATACCAGCAATATCAGACCTACTATGTTAGTCCATTTCAGGAGACGGATGTCTCAATACCACGGAACGTATCCTGCGAAGATTTATATTTGACAGCAGAATCTTTAATTGTTCAAGGTCCTTATCAAAAAATAGCACCGCCTGCCAGTGACAGCGACATAGCCACGATTATGTACTATTTGGATAGCCTTCTTGGGGCATGTGCTGAAGCCCTAAATGTATTGACAGAGCCTGAGATAATGTTTTTAGCTTTGGCGCATAAAAAGAAATATCCAGAGGAATACGTTTCTAGGACGAGTTTAATCGTCAATTTGAAATGTGCCTTTGTTAGTGTGACGAAAATAAAACGATTTGATCGCGTCTTTATAGATCAGAACAATAATTTATTGTGCAGCCTGCTTTCGTATGCAAGTCAAAATAAGGGCTTCAATCTCTATTTAGGTTGTTTAGATTATTCCCTATACAGATCGTTTGCAATTTCCGGCTACATGCTTAATAACATATGTAGTACGCCGTATAGCTTGGAAGCAATACCATTGCTTCTGCCAAAATATGTAATGCTGCACACCAGCGAAGATTCTTGCTCTCAGCGCTTAATCGAATTACTTACCGAATACGATGACTACCAGGTGAATGATATACGTAACGGTAGTCGCTTATATATATTTCGTCGCACTTATAACACGGTCTTTGAAAATGAGGGTCTACACGTGATACCCACATGTCTCTGCTTTCGTGACTTTACAATATTTCAAATGGAAGAATTTCTCCGCGATCTGGTAGATCCGATGTTAAAATTTGATCCATCGAGAAGTGTAGCTTCTGTGGACTTTGCAAATGAAATGCCAATGAACTTAACAAATATGAATGATAATATATTTATTAGACCTAAGTCTTTGCAATTTAAAGTACTGCAGGAAGAGAAAAGAGAACGAGAACGAGAACGAGAACGGGAACGGGAACGCGAAGAAGATACGGGTACGGAACGCGAATCCCGAACTAGTCGTGGAAGTCACAAAAGCTCAGTTAGCGATAAGCGAGCATATTCAATGCGTGACGGTAGTGCCAATTATTTTGTAGGCTTACCACCAAACCACCATTTATTAAGGGGTTACAATTTGGAAGATATACGTCAGGAAATTCGAGTAAAAACTTCCAAATACTATTTCAGAGACGGCTCGGTACAGCTATACGAGGATGGATGGTGTTTCGCGGAACTCAACAAACAATTGATACTGGAAGTAAATAGGTCTAAAGTGTACTTCAATAGACCGCGATACCTAAATGAAGGCATTTCGAATAGTATTCGTTTGATTACGGAACATAACATTTGCATGCGAGTGCTCAACGAATCGAATGAATATGCGAAGATAATAATGCAATATCCGAATGGTCTTTCTATTTACTATCAGAATAGTTATGTCGACCAAACGTGGATACAAGAATCCACATACAATAACGAACTTAAACGTTTGACGACGCCATACGGTTGTGTCATAATCTTTTTTAAGTCGCAAGATGTGATTATGATTTTGCGTTATAATGGCGAAGTCTATCGTCTATATCAGTATGTCTTCAGTTTAGAAGAGGAAGAGGAACTAATAAGTCAATTAACGATGATTCCGTCACACGAAAGTTCGGGAAGAAGATCAATAACAGACCCTAAGGCTACGCAAATTATTAGACAGGATGACGTACTAAAGCAAAGAAGGAGTAGTGAGAGTAAGCTCAGGTCAAAAGGGAAAGGGAAATGTACCGCTGAACGCAAATTAAGAGAGAAAATAAAACCGCCGAGAACAAGAGAACTTAAGGTATTGCTGGAAAATGAAATCAATTTTGTAAATCGCATAGCTGCACTATACGAGCTAACATATTTGCACCTAATTATAACTACCGCGAAAGGCAGAGTTGTCAATTTGGCTCATAATGGATCGGTAATATTCTTTATCGTTTAGATCGTACATCTCTATTGTTTCTAATTTATCCCAATAAAGATCTATGAGACCAATAGTTTAAAACTGAAAGAGTGGCACGACTATTTCGTAAATGAGAGTTATTGCGAACGTAATGATGGTGTGAAAATGATTTGGACTCGTGAAGTTTTAAAATGTTATCATGCGGACGGCACTGTGATTACGACTACAACCGAAGAGAGTACTGTAACTGAAGAAGATGATGAATTTGGTAACAGATTTTCGATATAAAAAAGATATTCTATAAAATAATTATTAAAGTTTCTTGTAACATTGTAACAATGCAGATCAATTAATATCGCAAAGCTCGTCGCACGAGGGCTTAGAAGAAGAACACAAATCAAGTACGCACGAGAGTTCGTCGTCTGGCGCTATTATCGCGAAATATCCACAATCTTTAAAAAAGAAGCAACCAAACCGACGAAAAAGCGTAAAATATATCTAAAGCAAATTTTTTGAAAGTGAAATATTTATATGTTTTCCGCTTTTTTTTATTTAGAATGCTAAAACAATGCGCGCGTCCGAGGGCATTGAAGAATTTGAAATAATTGAACGTACATTTGTTTGTTTCACATGCTGCAGCTGGTTAATACAGCATGCTGTTTACGCAGGCGTATATGTGTTCTGGCCACTCAGCTATCCCATTAGTTCAATAGAAATACTTGGAGTGGATGCTATACGCTTCTGTATCGTCAAACATTTCGAAGAGCGAACGAGCTATGAAGAAGAAGGTCAAATGAGTATATTTACCGAAGAATCGAAGGGTAGTTATAGTAGACCCTCAGCCGAGCACGATGAAGAAGAAGAAGGATTTATCGGCAAGGAAAACATTGTTCATTTATGGATAGGTGATGATTTGCATTTAACTATTAGTAATACAACATGCGAAATCTACGCTGTACTGGATCGAGAAGTCAGTGATTGGCAAATCTTAAGGTATGAAAAAATTCATTTTGCTACGGGCAGACGAACGAGCGTTAAAAGACAGACGATCAGACCTAAATCGATTGCGAATTTTCCGTTCAACAGAAATGAAAATTCCGAATACAGTCATGTTTCGGTGGACGATATATAAAGAAAAGAAGAAGATTGAAGATTTATCTTTTTTATAGCTAGATCAGATCACTTTTAGGTTCCCTATGCAAAGCCCTATTTTAAAAAAGTTATTTGAAAATAATTTCCCATTTTTAATATTCTTCGACAGAAGATCGATCAAAAATAGTATCTTCACATTCTAACTAAATGTACAACAGTTTGAGGGGCTTAAATCATTCATAAAATCTCCTTTCTTCATTCTTCAATGCTTTTATAATAGATAAGCCTCCCTCTGCAAGCAAAAAGCAATTTTTGGTATTTTGTAATAAAAATTGGAACAAAATAGTGTTTGACTTACATCACTGAAATGAAATTTCACGCGCATTGCTCTACTTGAAAATGTATATAACAAGTACAGATATGATACAAAATATTTAGGAGTTAATAGCAAATGATCTGGCCAGGGACAAAGAAGTAGCGAAAGAGAAATAGATAGGGAAGAGTCGCAGTTTATAAGTGTTACGCCTTTACCAATTGAGCAGACATCACTTTAGCTATGGCCACAAGCCAACCGTAATTTGGGTATAATCTTCCCCCGACTTTATGGTCGCGCTTCTTATCCACTACGCTATGCGATAGGCCTGTTAACGAACCTTATTTTAACCTAAGTATATATTACTTTGGGGAATTTCTTCAGGCTCTCCCTCAATATTTATTTTACGCACGTGCATAGCTTATTGTTTATATAAATGCACTTATATATATACTCATATATATTCCTACGTTAGTTTATCGTACAATCCTGAACTAGTTATGATTGAGTTGTGTTTATGGTCCGCCGCCGAAACGCTCACGTTCTTAAAAATTGAGATAGAAAATTCGATCACATGCGAACACATCTTTGTATCATCCGACGACCTTATTGAGTTATATATTATATTCGTAGATGATAGCCCTATTTCCATAGCATTGACATGATCCACCCGTAATACACGAAAGAAAGGTGAATACTGTATATCTCCTGTGACCATTGTAGGACTTTGTAAAGTTTCAATCTACAAACTGGTTCGCTTCTTACGACAAAAACTTCGTACAATGGACTTTATATTAGCGTGAATTAGTCGGCATCACTGGCTAATCCCAAAGAAAATATAAATTAATTTTGTTTTTTTCTCTCTCTCTCTCTCTCTCTCTCTCTCTCTTCACAGAGACACACTCTTGTTAAGGATTGATTTTAACGATAATATAACGGATGTATTTAAGTATTTTATTAACGCAATTTCGCAATTTGTTGGCGCCCACGATCAAAACACGAAAGATCTTTATTTCTTAGAACGAACTTTGGCGGACTGTACTACCAAAGGTAGATAGATTCCTTTAAAAATTTAAAAGAATATAAATTCTTACTTTTATTCTTGAAAGGTTTTGAATTTATGGACTGTGTACCCTGCGCGGCGGAATACTTTTCAAGTGCCTCAAACACCACAATGCAGTTCGATCAGTTCAAGTCGTTAGATGAAATGTGTAGCAACGAATACGATTGGTTTAAAGCAGATATGAAGAAGTTTCCAAGATTTACTACATGTCGTACCGAAAGTAAAGAAAAAAACTTACCTTGGATATTAGGGACCAAGTAAGCATAATAAGCGTAAATCGCTATCTCGTTAGGCTGTTTGCCAAAAAACAAACAAAGAAAAAGAAACGTTGAAGAAATATAGTTTCATCAAGTTACCTTTTAACTACATAACAATTTCCTTATCCTCTTTTCGAAAGGAGGAGCAACTGCAAAGCGCTATTACATAAACTATACACATAACTGCTATACACATAAACTGCATATCAAAATATGCAAAATCACATTTCGAACGAAAGCATATTTTTAGGGATTTTCAAAATATTGAGAATCAAACGCAACTCTATAAGAAGATATTGTTATTTATTCTAACCACTTAACTGTATGTAATGAATATATATGCGTCATGATCCGTCCATCCATCCTTACCGGATTTTCTCATAAAATTTCATCATTTATGATTATTATGTTTTTGGCATTTTGTCAAGTCGTTTCATTACAAACTAATTTCATGTTACACACATACACTCGTTGCTTGACGAGTGTACGAGTATATCGCTAAAGAGTCCGCACACAATTAACGGGTTAAGTGTCTAATAATCTAATAATAAGTATTTAAACATATCTCTGCTTTTGTTATTTTTCTTCCTTTCATTAGGGTATTTTGCAAGATACCTGCGTCGCTTAGAAATACTGACGAGATTAATAAATTTATCGAACCTTTTGAGTTTATAGATTTTAAACAGCTGAGAAGGAAAATGAAAAGGTTTCTAATAATTCAATATTCATGTATATATATATATTTATGGGAGTTCAGAATGATAAAAGTTTTCACTTTGACAGATTTCTTGATGAAAAGCTACGCGATGAGATTCGTTATAAGACAAAAGTTCTTTGGAGTTCAAAGAATTGGAAACGACGCTATTTAGAGCATCAACGCCGTCTTTTTAACGAACAACAACGAATCGGATTGTATCATGCGATGATTAAACACAAAATCTATCCTAAATATTTTAAATTCAAAGACAATTACAATTATGATGTGCGTTACATAGACTTTTTTGAGTTTGCCATTGCACGATGCGAAGGACGCGACGTTAAATCGGAAGAAATCAACTTTAATGAACAAAAGGCAAAGAAACCTACCAAGCCTTTACGAAAGTATTCGAAAGGTCGATCCTCATCAAAATCACCACGTTCAAGCAAGTGTAAATATGGCGTTTATACCTGACCATTCTCTGATGTTATTATGTAACCCTGTAAACATATTTTTTTATTATATTAAAATTTTCTTTATATAGAGGACTAATGTATATATATATATATATATATATATATATATATAAAATTCTTTAAGAAATTTATTCTGAGATTTTTTTACGCCTCGACCAGCTTGCAAGAAGTTGTCGACTATATATAAAAATCAACATATTCGAACCATGGTAGTGTAGAAAAGGAAATTATTAAAGCAATTCCCCATTAAAATTAAGCAAAGCAAATATCTACGATTACAAGAAACCTTTCGTTGGATCTAAATAAATGATTACCTCATAAAAAGAGAGATAGACCAATGAGTCCAACTCGTATATGTCTTATATAATAAAGCGAAGCATCTTGCTGGCACTATTTCGGCAAGAAAACGCTCTAGAGCGCAACTTCTTCTTCTCTTCCCGTCGTTTCTCTTATGTACGCAAAACAGGCAATGCGTAAGCATAGGTTATTCACTAGAAGAAGCGTTATAACGTCCAACATCCTTATGGAGCGCCCGAGACCACTAAATACAGCAGCCTACTTAAGCTACTTTTCAAACTCCATTGATACTTCGTTGTTGAATAACTAGAAAATGCCGATTAATGGTTTAAATTTTCAGTGAGAGAAAGAGAAAGAGAGAAGAGAGAGAAGGCATCACATGAAAAGAGTCAAGCTGATTGCACATAAAAAAATATCAAGAGAAAACAAGTTTGGTCTTCATAACGAAGCGAGAATATACTATGGGCAGCAAGAACGACGTTACATCTATGACACGAAGTCTTTAAAATACACCGATATCGATACGAACTGAGTACTATGAAAATGAACATAAACATAAACAATGGTAATCGTAATTAGGAAATATACGTAGGAGAATGTTGTAAATTATGGAAGCAACGAAGGATTGCTTTATCACGGACGATGACTGCGGCGATCGTAGACACCATTTACTGCACTTTACGTTAACGATCTTTTTGTACAAAAATTCGTAATTCTTGGCCCGACGGCATGGCGACTCAGAGTCTGCTAATCGGGAGGGATTAAGGATGAATATTCAATATTTCAAACATTTATTCATTCATTATCATTATATTAGAAATATTTTGGGTACCAAATTAAAATAATTACGGAGAACGGGGCTGAAAGATATTCTGGGGGAAGCAGTGATATGAGAGAAATAGATGAAGCATCTTGTACAATAACTCATGCCTGATGTGAAAAATTGCATAAAACATGTCATATATATATATATATATATATATATGTGTATGGAAATATGGTATTTGCAATATGCATAAATTATTTCTACAACATAATTCTATTAATTATGAAATATTTCTTCATATTCCTATGGAAAACTGTCGCTGAAATTTACTGAGAAATGTGACGGAAACGAAATTCCGAATTCTTCATTGGCCTATAAAAGGAAATGTGTAATATTTGCTAGCTAATCTTTGGTTTCTTTCTTTCTTTCGTACATATACACATATACGTATACGTACCAACTATTCACTTAAAAATGCAAAATGCATATGGTTTTGCTTTGTACACATTTCGGACAGCCAAAGAGTTTTACAGAATTTTTATCCAACAAATAATGAGAATGCAAGAGAAAGGGGCCAAATGGCTATATAATAACAGCGCTACTACGATTATTGATCACACATATGTAAATAGTAACAGAACGAAATAATCGTTCTAAATTAATAATAATGATAATAATAATAATAATAATAATGATGAAAGCTTGAGAACATAGGCGCGGCCTCATTGCATTTGCTTCCCTATACCTTTTCTAATTTATTTAAACACTTTTTATTTCGGTCTTTATTTGAAGAAATTGTTTTTGATTATATTTAATTGTTAATGGTGCTTCCTCCTATTGAAAACTTGTTTTATATGTAAGCTCACGTCAATAAGAACTTGAATTTAATCTATAGTCCGACCCTTCAAATTACATCTTAAGGAATTTAATTTAAGAAAAAACGAAAATACTAGAAAGTGACGAGTTAGATCTCCGATATACAGGCAGCTCTAAATTCAACTTTCTGCCACCTACCTATACCGTAGTCGTTCAGAATAAGCTCTACATAATCGCATACTTCAAGGAAGTGCGTTAACTTTCACCCAACCGAACACAACCAGTGAAACACTACTAATAATAAACGTAACAAGCACCATCACAACATACGGTGATAAAATTAAAATGTTTTGGGTATCTAGTTAGTTATGCCGGTTTATTCGGAAATAAACAAGCTAATCGGACGCAAAAATGTGCTGCTTCTGCATTTCTAATTATGGACGAGCTCACAGAAAACTTGAAACTTCAAAGCTACATTATAAGGAAAGTTAAAGAGAAAATTATAGCGGCAAACTTACGATACTAGCATCAGCACTACTCCTCTGCTTACACGTACCTTGTTTTGACCATTATATCCCAAAAAATATTGACAAAATTCAAGGACGAAACAATTGCGAGAATTCGCCTTGGCCCTACAAATGCAATACACCAATGAATCCTCAAGCCGGCTACTGAACGCGATATCAATTCAATATATTTCCTTGAATTAGACTCGATATGTAATTGTCTTTTCCAGAGTACCGGAGAGAGAGAGAGAGATAGCATTTCTTACTATCGTTTTATTTTAGTCCAAGAATTTATTCATTTAATCTAAAACAATTATAACAATAATAATTTCGATATGAGCGAAAATTAGAATTCACTTTGCTTATTCCATTTTCTTCAAGTCTGCTTCCTTGGATTGTTGTGCCACAAAGTTAAACTGCACCAATATAATGGTATAACTGGTTATAACACCGCTTAGCTAAATTAAAAGGAAAAATAACAGTAATAAAATTCTTGTATCATTTACTGCAATGCACAATGACACATACGCCACAGAGAGTTCGCATGCTTAGCGATAAGAAACCACAATTAGCAAAATCAAACGCATGATTTAAAAGTTTTAAAGACGAATGATTAACCTAAAAAAAATAAACTGTACACGTTAACCAGGTGCTCAATTAATTTTAAACTCTTACGCTCACAATTTCGTATACAGCTTTGTCGTTTAAATTGATCGCATATTTATGTAAAGCTATTCCCGTGTACTTGGCTTCCAAAGCGGTTTTCCAACTTGAGAATATCAGGTAAATGCACTTAACACCAGTGTAGCTCAAAAATAGGATTGACATTAGAAGGCTTTCAGCCGAGCGAAACAATATTGGTATCGGCTGACGTCGTATTATAATAGCAACAATAAAATAACATAATTAATAACATAACTAAGAATTTAGTTATATAAGTAACTGCGATTAAGGTTATGTGCTTACTTGATTTTGTGCAACGCAGTACGTAAAATATAATTGAGCGGTGAAGATTAGAAATCCGTATGCCATTAAAGCTAATATGGGATAAGTCCACATCTTATGAAATGTTTGAATCAATTCACAAATTTCGTCATGCAACTGGCAAACATTTATCAGCCTTTCTTCCACTTTATTTAAATCAAATGATCTCATCCGATTTTTAAATTTAACAACTCTTCCGGCATTTAAAACCCTTTTCAGATATTCTAACCCGTTAACGTAATCCATTTTTAATAAGGATAATTCATCGCTCTCATCTTCTTTTAAATTAGTGAGAGTTCTATTTAACGCAGAAAGACGTTGCCTTAAGGCGTGCAAGGTAGTAGTAAACCAGATTTTGTCCAACGAATCGTATAAAGTAGGCAGACAAGAAAATATCCACATCACCACTAATACCCATTGCGTATAATTATGTAGATACGCATAGGTAAGAAGTGTTATTATGATTTCAAGAAGGAATGTCATAGCTACCATAACATAGCAATGCCACGCCAATGATCCATTGTTAAGTACGCAACCCGCTTTAATTAATCTGCTATCTATGGAATACAGACGATCATAAAACTCGCCGAGTCTGCCTTGATTGCAAATAGAACTTAATTGGTCAGTAGCCATTAAAATTATTTTTATTTGCGTTAGAAATATGCTGATAACAAAATTTAACGCATCTGTAACGAAATGGATGGAAGAACGGCTCCCATTAGCCGTGAAATAATTAATAATTAAGCTTTTTATGTCAAAACACAAAGAAATTTCAGTTTGTATTTCTATTCACAAGCCGTATGTATCTTCTATCGATATGGAAGATTTTTCACTTTTTTCCACTATTTATATTTTGGCCAAAAAATTGTACAATACAGCAACAACCTCAACGATGATATTTACTTACTGCGGTCCGCTTCTCTTTGATCATTTCCATCGGATTGTGATAGTATGAAGATATTATAGCAAACAGTTATCCAAATCATAACAATAATAACTAAGATAGAACCACTTTTAGATGCTTCCAAAGCGTGCTTATTCCTATACGCCGATACACTTTGAGGATATATTCCCAAAAACTTGCATAAATAATATATTAACGTAAAATGCAAAAGCACACAAGAACACGATTGCTGGTGCTGTTGTGACATATTCACTCCCTTTTAATGAAATGAATTTCAATCCTAAAGTCTTAATTGCGTACATTCAATTAATTTAAAACACTTAGTATAATTGGTAAGCTAATGGTGTTTTAAAATATTCATAGACGGAAATAGGCGGAGTTGCTAACTACTTTACTATGTATTTCAACAGGTAAACTTAAAAAAAGTAAGCGTGGACTTTTATTTGGAAAACATTGTAATTTATCGATCATCAAAAGGAACACAACGAACGAAACTTCCAGCATTGATACTCAAATTTGATTTTGATTTTTTAATTAAACATCTCTTATATTTCAGAAATTTTGCATACCTTTGCATGTTATTCCTATTATTGTCTAGTCTAGATTTAAAAAATCGAATAAAACGGGAATAGTCTATACCGTGAAAAATGTTCTCCAAATGCCTGATATAATTAAATATGACGCCAGCATTATACGATGTAGACTTAATTCGATCGACAACTCTTTGCCATATTTCGGGTAATCCTAGAGTTTGCTTGCCCTAACTCTTGTCCGACAAATGAAATTGATTTGCTCCTGGTCAAAATTCTAATAAAAAGGGCAAAAAATTTTAAGCTCGGAACACTTTTGACCGCGAATATCATGGTTACTATTGTTTTTGCTCTCTCTCTCTCTCTCTCTCTCTCTCTTGACGGACATCATTTCACCCTCTCTCTCTCTCTCTCTCTCTCTCTCTTGACGTACATCAGCTCCCTGCTCCCTGCAAAAACTTCGGCGAATCCAGTGCAATCAACTTGCGGTTACTCGCCGCTTATGTTCTATTTGTCATCTTTAGTAGAAATCACGTGCGCCCCCTAAAAGGAACATGTTTTAATCACTCAGCCATTCCAACTCAATCAAAAATATTTATTTGCAAAATCGTACAACCCTTGCGCTCTTTTGTATCTAAACAAAAACAATTTTACTTCCTCTAAATACTTCCCCCGTAGAGATGCATGCAGTCGTTTTAAGCTAACTTAACTCAATCTAACATTGCTACTCGATTATTGCTTTATAGATGGACTCAATTTTTTTTTAGCGAAATCTTAATTATATTCATAACTCCCTGCGGTATATGGAACATATAATCATTTTTTATATAGATATCGTTTTTTCGTTATTGGTATCGCTAACGCTAGGCAGTAATTAATTACACCCGATGATCTAATTTTTTTTTAGGGAAAAATTTTATTGTTTTGTTTGGCTTTTTATGCAGTTTTTAGTAATATTTATAACTATTTAATAACTGATTGCATATAGTAACCTTGACTACATATACATCTTGTTCATCAATTTTTTGTGTAAACATACACAGAATTGCAAAATGGTCGAGTACACTCTACAAATTGCGATAATTCTATGCGTGCATGTTTGTGTAGTGAATGCGTTTTTTATTTTTTGTTTATAAATTTTGTGTATTTGTGTAGACCTAAAAATTTCTTCTTTAACAATACAAATTCAGAGGATATGCCAGAAGGATCTGTTTACAAATCTCGGTGTGCAAATGTTCCATATTAAAAAAGAAGATTCCGAAAAATTATTTAAACCATTTGTTTTCAATATATTATAATGCAAGGAAAATATAACACTCCACACCCTTTGTTAAATATCATCTTCAATTAGCGTCTCTTGCGGCACTCTTCTTCACGTTTACGTTCCTCCTGTAATAAAATAACCAAAACAATGATTATATATGGACAAGTTTTGTTTATCAACATTATTATTATATTGTAAATTTATTTAAATAATTAAATTCATATAATTATATATATATATATACCCCGTCCGTTTTTAAATGCATTAGAGATCTCAGAAAACTGTTTTGTTTTGATTTGACGCATGTATATTCTTAATAGTACCCAATTTAAAGGATTTGTGTTTTTGATTCAGTCATGCCTCAGTTTCTTTCACATCACGCATTTAACTTATGCTGAATTCTATAAGCTGAAAAATTAATTGAAATTTCAGTGGCAATTAGATCTGTGCAAAACTAAAACAAAAAACACAAAAACACTTGAAAAATATGGTGCTCATTATTATATCTACCACAAGCGGTCAAGTGTTTGTAATGCATAGAAACTTGCATCAGAGATCCCATTAGCTACATGTAAGAATTGATTCAGTCATATCTATATATTAAAAATACAATTACAATCTTATAATTCGATACTACTGCTACGGCATGTTTGGAGCAAATCTTATATCAGTTCGTACTTTCCCCACCGAGGAATACCACAAAAATATAAAAAATAAATAGCTACCATTTGGCAGTGTAGTCGTTCCATATTATCATACGTTTAGCTCCAGATTCCTTTTCTAGTGCCTGATGGGCCCGTATATGGGCTCAAGTACGTTATTGCATATAAAAATTTGCGTAACTTCGCCATCATTTGCGGTTTTTTTTCGATTGCACGTCCATCGGATATATGAGCTTTATTATAAGTGAAAATTTGTACTACCATTTGAAAAAAGTATTTATCGGTGTAATGTATTTCTTTCTTCCCGGAAGTAGCAGATGAAGTATCTCATCATTTTCATTTCGAAATTTTATTTTCGCTTTCGATTTATGCCTACGGGACTATCGGACTTTACAACTCAAGGCCTAATGACTAACTGATGCTACCCCTCAACTTCTAATATGGTACATACAAACAAAAATTTTGACAGAATCCATCATAGCAAAGAAATGTCTCAAACAGTCATATCACTGCAAATTTTTCAGAAAATGCTTTCTTTTTATTGAGAACATAGATTGATTGGATCTTCTAGAATGCGTGGAAAAAATTCAACAGCTGAATGAACATTTTTTTTTGTTCACATCTTAGGCTTTTCCCCCAAAATCTCTATCTATCTCTAAATAGACGTTCTGCGCTCCGTGTTAAAAGAGTCCCTGCTGCGAAATTACAGTCTAACGTCTTATCTGTTGATTTCTAACTCATACAATCCATCTGCAGATGTCTTCAAAAAGTATTTATGTTAATTTAAAAGCAGTCCCTAACAAAAATACGTTAGTGTAGCTTCATTGAGACGAACGAACGCACGTGACGGTAACAGGGATTTGCGACATGTCAACGCGTCTACTAAAAATAAAAATGTTTATTTTAATTATGAATATACGACTGCAGAGTTATAACTTTTCTTGAAGTCTTCTCAGTCATTTCACAACAGGTAAGTTGTAAGACGTGACGCTATCTTCGGCAGGTTCGGCGCCATCTAGCAAGTAATTTTGGAGGGATGGGGAAGAAGGTTATTTGTTTAAACATGACAAAGTATTTTTTATGGTCCAGGGATTCGAGACTAAGCTTCTAAAAGCTTTAAGCAAGTTTTTATACTGTCTATAAATGTACTCCTAAAATTTCCATTCGATTTTTTTATGTACAATTTAAATTTGCACCATCTGCCCTATTCACACTTTCAATCAGATATGCCTCGCGAAGATGGCTCCAATGTCATCATTTTTTTAAACTTTTCATAAAAATAACTTTTTTAAATACTTATGTGTATGCTTTATAACGGCCTTGGATATTATTCTAAAAAAAAAGCTGCTACAATCGTATTATTCCTTAACATTAACTGTATTAAATAAATTTTCTGAAGACTTACCTTTTGCGTTAAAATGATGAGCAAACGTCTGAATAAGCTTAATACGTCAAAGAACAGGTCCATTGAATGTTGAACAACATCCGTACTGCCAGCACGTACTTTTTCGACAATATTTTGAGTGTCGAATAGAACAAAGGCAGCCATTACCAATACGCCTATATAAAGTTGTCCCTAAAAAAGTAAAAGCATCCTTGAACACGACGCCATAAATGACTATAAATTGATTTTTCTTACCAATTGTACAAATAAAGATTGGAAAAACATGTTTAGTATACTCAAAAGGGCCATCGTGTTGATAATACTAACCAATACACCACCCAGATATAAAAATTTACCACGTTCTGCAAACAAGGCCGCCAATGATAGTGATACAAATGTTATGATCGTTCCAAGTAATGCTGTTACTATAATCGACGAATCAATGCTGGCAATGTATTTTAGTAACGGTCCCAAGGTCTGCCCAGAACAAAAGCCAAATGAATATAACATTCCGACGCGTCGATAGTAATTTTTGCCATTATCACGATAAAAATGTAAGCCCAAGACAAGTAATAATGAGCTTAAAGCGGCAATTACTCCCAAGTCGACTAAGTTTTGCATTTGTAGAAAGGCACCAGTTGCTGTCGCTGCTGAAGTACAGCCCAACATCATGTAAACTTTGCATAGATGTTGACGTACAAATGGCTCACTAAAGAAAAATAAACAGTTATTTTTATAACGCCATTATCAATTTTTTTCCTCATCTAAAAACATTCACTTTCTAGATTAATAGGTAAGAAAGCTTCGTTCATCTTGAGGTAAAATTTTACATGCAAAGTATTTTCTTGAATTTTTTTAAAATAACATTAATGAGATTCGGTATTCCATATCACTTCAAGCAACATTGCTTAATAGCGGGCCGTTCACGTAAAACGCTCTAATAAATGCTCGAGATACATTGTAGGTAATAGCTTGTTTAATCGTTTTACCATTTTTTTTTTTTTTTCAGCTGTCGATCATGAAACGAATCGAAAAATAGAGCAGAGTCCCGATTCTAGTCTTAATTTTTAGGAAGTGATATATTATAGCCATGAGTTGATTGATTTCTTTTCAACTTTACAGACAATCTGGGCCAAATTCCTAAAGATTAGTTGAAAGCGGGCGAGTTACACAGAATTTGAACTAATTTTTTACAACTCGTAAAACATCAAATTTCATGATTAAACAAAAATAAGTAAATGAACTTTGGATGACGAAAATATACGTACTTTGACTCGCTTTGCAAGATATGCCTACCGTGAGAATTTTTTTAAAAACCTGTTTACTTTTAAAGTTTCGTGAGGAGAAGTGGATATATAGCTAATTAAGTTTTAATAAATCAAGTTTCTTTATAAAAGCGATTTCTTTTCAAAAGACGTAATAAAGAAATATTTACTAATTATATACTTCATATGTGCGTAAGTATGTTCTCAATCTAAAATAGAAGCAAATTTTATGGGATTCGACACACTTATAAATGCTATCTATGAACATATTTGCATTGCAATGCGTTGCTCACGCACCAAAAACCACGTCATTATTAAAAGCGAACGACTACTACGCAATAAAAATTAAGCAAATTATGAAAAGTATGTAATTAATTAACAACGAATTCACTCAACTCGCTTATTGCAATTAAGTTATTATTTTATGTATATGTACTCACTATCTTTGATTAAATCCATTGATAAGTTGATTGAATCTGTCGCGAGTAGCGGCCATTTTGAGTTATAGTAGTAAGTGTTCGCAAATCGTCTTTTCGGTATTTGTAAACGGTAATATTTTTGTCACCCGATGCAGACAATACGTGGACGTTGGCCACTTGTTTATCTCAAAATGCACAGGGAGGAGTTACTGCTTTTGGGTGCTTCTTATATTTTTAACTGAAAATTTTACAAAACTGTTTTGATTGTTTTCTCAAACATAGACAATAGAAAATTTCAAATTTGATTAAAATTTCTTGACTACGATTATCAAGAATTTTTCTATTTTTTATTTACGACAAAGTTTCAAATATTGTTTAATTTTATATATTTCACCTCCAATATTTAAAGAAAATAACTGAGTCACCATGAAAATCACTTTCTCAAATGTATTTTGCAAATTAGTTTCGCGTAAAACGAGCTGATTGCCATTTTCTGTAAACAGAGTTTCCAAGCTTCTCTCATTGATAAATATATAGGCAAAGGAATGTCATTTTTCTACTATAAGAAAAAAATCAAAAAAATTTCTCTCATTAAGCAGCAAGAAGCTAAACGAAAAACACGCAACAACCTTCTTTTTCTTCTAGAAAAGATATGCAGATGGAACATAAATATTTATATATATATATATATATATATATATATGTATATATATATAACGTTAAAAGTAAAAAGAGTGTATTCTTCGACTGATCTGATATTTAAGCCAATAACAGTCTCTTGCTAAATGTCGCGTTCATCAATATTAACAATTATCTTAATTTTATACTATTTGGTCTGGTAGTTTGATCGGTGAACTGATATGATTAAATCGGATCGGTATATTAAGTTTATAAGCAACAAGTATATGTTACGAGATCGCTGACAAGTATTACCGCGGTTTAAAAACGAAAGCTCAGATTTGTTTCGATTATTTTCATACCCACCGCCAAAGGATGGGATTATATTCATTTAGTCAAAACAATTTCAACGCCCGGGATGAAGTTCCAAAGGCGCCTTAAGTATACATATTCTTGATCATCATCAAAGATTAAGGCGATTTAAGCATATCCATCTGTTCGTCTGTGTGATGTCTGTAACAAAAATGTTCCTGGTGTCAAATATTAAGACGTCAGCCTGAAATGTTGCAAAACCATTAGAAGTTCTTCGAAACAAGTCTATATCGAAAATGGGCCAAATCGGTCAAGCGATATGTCTACAAATATTAAGAACGCTTCTGTTCTCTGGATATTCTGCTGATTACTCATACATTACAATAGATTAGGATAAAAATTTCCATTTATAATTTAATAAAATCATGCTCACTCAATGTTAACGAGCATTAGAAATTTAGTTTTTTTTGCTTTGGTTTTAGCCTTTTTGAGAGCGTAGGCGACGGATATAAAAGACACTTATTACACTTTAATAAGGAAAACTTGTTGCAAGATCGTTAAGCTACGATTGAAACTATAATTATAAGGATTGCAACGCTTCATTAAGACACGTGTAAACGCTTACATTCGAACTTCTTCTGCTTATCGAAATGTTTGAGATACGGCTGAACCACAGCTATATCTACAAACAGGTAGCAAATTCTCAACATCGGTAAATTACCTGAGTCGATTTCAAAGCAGACAAAAATGTCGCACTGTGGTTGTCACAAATGTTTTAAAAATATGAATGTACTTACATCCTTTGATGGTGGATATAAAAAAAAGGGCGAATTGTGCGTCACGAATGATGACGTCTTTTGACTCGGAGTGGGTCAGAAAAGCATAAGACCTGGTCATTAAGTGGTTGTCACGTTATAAGAAAATATAATACCAAACAAAATGCGATGAGGTTTCACGTTTCCGTCAATCAATGTTGGGAGCTTCCCAGTTCTCTACTGGAAATTGTATTCTGTTATTGTCGTCCAGAACGGGCTTTCATTCTAATTATTTATGGCACTTTAACAACCATATGTTTCAATTTCAAAGGAGTCATGCTGGGATTGTGCATCCTCTTGTATATAAAATTATATGTGAGAAATATGTTTTAAAACGTGTACAGTCTACGATTGATACAATAAACGCATGGAAGGTCCATTTTGAAATTGAATACAATGCAATTTAATAGCGACTCTCACAAAATTCAGTAATTACTTTCAGCCAATGTCTTACCAATATTACACTATTCTCATACATTTTTCGCTTATCTTATAATCTTACGGTACTTTTGGATTATAAATTTACAGTAATTTCGAGTCATCAGCCACCTTGCTATTGGTGGAGGTTCTAAATAGCATCAAGCGTTCGTTATTCAAGAAAAACGAACTTTATTGCTGATCAGCTTCGATGGTCGTTTTATTATGATTGCGTGAACCATTGTCCTACTTTAATATTTTAAAATTTTTTAATTAATTTTTAAATTAATATTTTAATATCCATTCAAATTCCGCCAATATTTTACCTATTGGCTTCTTCTGAAAAACTTTTGAATTCAGATCTTTGGAGAAATGGTTCAGGTTTTCTAATTGGTCGAAATATATGAACTTTCCAGCTTATCTGGTGCTAGAACGCGTATTGTCTTAACTACTCAAGTATACCATTTACGGAAATCATAATGTGTTTAGAAAACGTACAGTTGGGTATCTTTACAAATTTATTGTTTTTGAAATTGGAGTTTAAAAAAAAGTCGAGGCAATTTCCAATCCCTTAATATGCCACATACATCAGAACAGATCTCGAATATAATGCCTCAAGGATAGAAATATTGCATCTTCAAATAAGTTTCATTTCATAGCCACTTTATGGATGCAGCTAATCTAATTTAAATCGGCGGGAGAGTTGAAAAGTGAGCTTTGGATTTCGATATTCGTCATTCGATCATAATGCTGCGGCATTTTCTTGCTGCAATTCGCCAGCAGTATCAGTCAATTATATAATCTTTATAGCATGTTCAATTTGCCTACCGACCTTACATTCCACCAGAATTGTTTTTTGCGGATCATTTTGTTATAATTCAAAAGGGAAAAGTCGGCTATCTATAAAATGCTATATATCCAATTTCATCTGCTTTTCAACGAAGGCTTCGCATCTGAAAGTTGTTCCACACTTATCTGCTCGATCTCTTTTAGTCCCTCCGAAAACTTTGTCTGTCCAAGTAGCATCTAAAAAACAGTTGTTCAGCGCTAAGAATACACTACCAAGGTTAAAATATATGTTTTTGAATCAATCTCGTTTGCAAACGAACCGTAAGTGTTGTCTTGACAGTGGTATCGAATGCAAACCCATTTCTGCAACGTCTCCACATTTTGGTGACGTCTGGAAGGTTACAGTGAAGGTAGCAATGTTTTGCTTTCATATTATTGCTGGCCTATCTAGATCGACTTTTAATGAGCTTCGCACATTAATTCCCAGCTATTCGCAGGTACTAACAAGGGCCTTTTTTTTTTTAGAAGAATCTGAATTAATTGTTTAATTAGCTGGCGAAGAATTGGTTATAAGCAACAAATCTTCTGGAGAGGATTACGCGCTTTGTATCGTTCCCTTTCGCAAGGGCGTTCAAATTGACTCGTTCCCGCTCGCAATATGCTTATTACATAGCCTAGCTTTGCAAAATTATGGAAATCTTACGCTCCTCTTAAGCGACAATTGTGAATAAATTCACTCAATGAAATTGTCTACGCTCAAGAGGCACAGAGGTAGTTCGCCTTGCAATCATTTGCATCAGTTGTCTCACTCTAGACGAATATTGTGGTGTATTGATCGAGTTACCTTTTTACTTTTGCTTTGCCCACTTATCCGCTTTCTTTTGTTAACAGCATTTGGATAAATGATTGACGCATACGCTACGCATAAATCCATTTACTTAAGTTATTCATTTATCAGTGTAAGGTCGTGTCAGCTTTTAGTTAAATTCGAAATTTTTTACGGGAACTCTTCAATTTTCTTTTCTCTTCTTGTGTCTTTTGTACCAGCTTGTAACTAAGTCAATATAAAAAAGCCAAAATACTTTCAATTTCCGTACGTTTCTTGGCCCTGGAGGTGGCTTCGCGTTATACCCCAAAACTTTAACACTATTATAAAACAAAACCATATAAAAAAAGGGTTGAGTTATTTAGAAAGTTTTCAATCCTTTTTTTAACACACATGTCTTACAAGGAAATTGCATTGTTTTCTATTTTATAGTTCATTAGCGGGAAATCTAAAATTTTGGAAGAAAAACAAAATCAAGAAATTCGTGAAACATGTCCTTGGATGCAATTAAAATTTAAAGTTTACCAGTTCAGGATTGGAGGCGTTAGAAATAAGGGCGGCTAGAAAAAAGTAGTTTCGAGAAAGGTGCGATTACACAATGTTGGGTCAATACAATTCTCTATTCAACTTTAATCTCCAATGTTTGCATCACACAACTCTTGGAAGGTTCCAGTACCGAAATTTGCGCAGTCGCAACATCTATTGGATACACTTCAAAAGTGTAAATAGATTGAGAAAATTTTTGACTCGGCAAGCAATCCAGAGACACGAGTTAGCAAACAAATAAACATTTGTTCGAATTTCATTCTTGTGTATTTTAGGATCACTTGTACAAGGATCGAGTATAATTTCTCAACTACCTTTTTTTTTCTTCTTTTCATTCTTCTCATGAATGACGTCATTACTCATGCATATGATGCTGACGAGTATAATGTTGAAAATGCACGCGAACGACGAAGACGACGTTAAGAACGTCTTAATAAAATAAAAATAAAACAGTTCAATATATATTTTTATAGCAATAAATCTGCATTATGACTAAGGAAGTAAAAAATGCGTCATGCAATGTAAATTAAGTATTGCACATTCAAGAGAACTTTAAAGAGCTTTCGAAATAAGGAAAATAAATAAAAAAAAAAATAAGAAAATGCTTTTAAAAATGTTACGGGTCTTTTATTAAAAAAATTGATATCAAAATTATTAAAAAAAAAAAAAAAAAGAAAAAAAAAAAGAAAAGAATAATAAAAAACAAACTCAAGACATAAATTACATCCATGCACAGTAATCAAGTAACTAATTGATAAATTGCTTCAGTTCTTGAAACAACTTACAAAATAAAATGTCGTTCGTTTATAATAATCAAATAGATTTTTGTGTAAGAGCTCATCTTCAGTTCGCTCGTCGACATAAAATTGTTTGCTTCGCTTTTTACTTTTTTTTTTTTTTTTTTTTTATTTATAAAACAGGCCGCTAAGTGTATTATTCATATATGTAAAAAATTTTTTAATCCAAAAAAAAAAAAAAAAACAAAAAAAAAGAAATTAACAAATAAACAAAATAATGTATTTTTTTTTCTCTTAATTTCATTTTTTAACCGGTGTTTTGCTTTACATGATTAAAATAATGATCAAGTTGCTTTAACTGTGTAACTGATTTTCAATTCGAGTTAAAAAAAGAAAAAGAGACAAAAATGAATGAGAAAGAATGAGAATAGGAGAACACTGATCATGTCTGAGATGAAGAGAGCAACTAGCAAAATGGTAATGCGTTAGTTTCGAACGAATTTCGAATACTCATCGTCTTATGTAAATTTAATGAAAATTATTTTTCTTACACATTCAATGATAAAATTTTTAATGGACTTATTATCCCCTTCGACGTTTATATTAAGAGCAACATTTACAAATTTTTGCTTCTCTCAATCTAATTTGATTTTCTACCCGCACAAACGGTCAGAGACACTGTAAACTCTATACATTCTCGATCGGCATGAATAGTGTTATCGAACTGATCAAACACACTTTGCTTTCTGTCATTTATACGATCCCAAATACTTAATTTCTACCTGGATGAGTGAAAATATATATACTCGATTGAACATTATCTTCATTACTTATTTTAAGCACGAAAATCAATGAAAATTAGTTAAGGACCTTCCAACGATACCTAAACGGGAATATGTAACCATAAGCAAGCTTATGAGTTCACTATCCCACGCTCGATGACTTGGACAGTTTCTACAATTGAGTAGTGGAAAGCGAACAGCGATGGCTGGATTGATTCAAAATCTTAGACTGCATAAAAATATTTACGTAAAAATTGTTGCAAACGGAATAACATGGAAAATATTCCCATACGTTGTTGATACGCATAGCAGCAGATTTTAAACAGAAGCCATACATATTATTTAAATATCAGTGTCTTCTGCACAGCGTAATCAGTTGAAGTTTTAGATTCCGTGAATTAACATTTGACGTTAATAAGGTTATTAAAAAAAAAAATTAATAATAATAATAATAATAAGAAAAAATCAAAAAAAAAATAAATAAATAAGAAAATAAAGAAAAACAATTATTAAAAAGTTGAATAAAAATAATTTCAAGAAAATTATAAAATAAAAAAAAAGGTTTGCAACAAATTAAAAAGGAAAACCGAGAATAATATTTTTTTAGGAAGAATTTGTAAAAACTATCCTGTTTTTAAACAATGTGCTCCGCAAGAGTTTATTATGCCTTTTTCATTGCTAATTATATATTCATATTGTACAACTTAAGCAGCAGCAGCACGGAAGCTGCTATTTACACGCAACGTGCCATTTTTCATCCTGGTTAGTATTTTTTTTTTTTATTTTTTTTTTTTTTTTTTTCCAAAAAAAAAAATTATTAATTTTTTTATTTTTTTTTTTTTTTTATAAATTATTGCTTAATTTGAATATAATATGCAAATAAAATTATTAATTGTTCATAATTGATAATGTCATTAAAAAGATTTCGTCATTATCGCGTTTGTTTATTAAGTCTTTCGTTTTTTTTTTTTTTTTTTTTTTTTTTTTTTTTTTCTACTGAATGTGCACATTCTTAGCGCTATTATGTAGTAACAAGTTTTTGCCTTAGGTTTTTGTTTATTATCATTAATTGTTTCAGAACGTGGGTGTATTATATACGAGGTAGCACAACGGCTGTGTAGTGAACAAGTACTGTTATCACGCATGAAACGCATAACAATTTTAAGTAACTCACAGTATATCAAGTGAAGCGTGAGAAGGCGGGGAGGGGGTATACGTTTTGTAATATCTACAGTGAAGCCTTAAAGACCTAAAAAAAAATATATATATATATAGATTCTTCATTAACATCGAATACGGAAACCGGTCCGTCTGAGTATGTCCTTGGTAAACATTGTACGGGCCATAAGAATTAAGAAATATCGGTTTTCCGAGCTGGGTATTCAAATTGGGACAAATCGGGTCTTCGCTTTCTGGATTTTTTTAGTCACTACTCATAAACTGCAACAAATAAAACACTGAAAATTTTCACATATATTCTACGCATGAGCCTACTATGTTTGCACAAAAATGCAAGAGTCTGCCATGCCCAAGCAATATAGCAGAGTATCGAAATATCATTGTTTGTTGGGTTATTTTTTTTTTTTTTTTTTTTTTTTTGAAGAAAAACGTAATAGATATAAAAGAAAGTGCATCGGTTACACCCGAATTGTTTATTTGTTAATGTTCTTTTTCTACTTAGATGGAGCCCATAATGGTGGAAGGGTTAACAAGTAGCTATGTTCTTATTTCCGTTGCATGAACTTCTACTTATTGTTGCCGTTTCCCGTACTAATAATCATTCAAAATGCTCATTGATCAATCCCTTTCAATACTTGTATTGTAATATTCGAGATTTGGGATAGGTGTCTGTGAATGTATTTTCATAGTGTGATTATAGCTTGTAGTCGATTTTCTCAAGATTATTTTCGATCGAATCTTTATTATATGCCGCTTTGTAGAACATTTTCTTTTCACTTCCTTCTTTTTTCGGGGAAATTTATTTGTTTCACCATTAGGATCACATACAGAAGCCTTGCGAAATCTTGTTTTCAATGCTCTTTGTTTTTGCCTTGACAGTTTATAACTTTAAGCGGGAAAGTGTTCATGGTATTAACATTCTCATGAACCATATATAACACATGGGACATTAAATGTTCCTTCAAACCTTCAAATCGCCTTTTTCTCAAAGAAAATTTTTTTTTAAGGCAATCACAACTTTCACAGTAAAATTGAATACATCTCCTGAAGGCTCATATCATGGTCATCATCTCGTGAAGCTAAGATGTTTAAGCGCAAGGATTGACTTTTCAGTAATTTAAGCAAACTATAAAAAAATAGTACATAAAAATAATACATGCATAGTGTTACCAATTGTCTACATTTCAATTTTTTTTTTTTTTTTTAATGCCTTACTTAATGACAACTAATTTTCATACACTCTCCTTTCCTAATCTTCAGTCAGTTAGACGCAGGTACAAAATAGAGGGCTAAGGACTTGAGAATGAAACTTAGCGAAGACAAAGCATTGGAGATCGAACCACTATACAATAAATGGCAATGAGATGGTATCTATAAGTGGAATCTGGATCTCTCTATGATTTAATTACGCTATTACGTCTGTCCATATTTCTTTTATTTCTTCTTTATTGCCGTAGTTACAATATATGATGGTAAGATTCCCTATTGTCAAAGAGTAGGCTATAATAGCTTATTGCCATTGTTGCAAATGTTGGCGCGCTCTTAATTGGATTTTCAAATAAATCCTAGCGAAAATTCATATACATATGTATCATAAAAAAACTTGCCTTAGTCCTAGAAATTGAGCGCAAAGTTGATAAATTATTTTTAATAGCTTTGCGAATAGCAACAAAGTTTTCAGTCGATTTTAAAATGCTTTTGAAATATTTGATAGTTTTCTTTTATATAATTTATTATATTGTATAATTGTTGTCAAAGTCTATCGCGAAAAATTTTAATTATTAATAAATTAAATAAACATTAGCTAATTAATTAATAATAATTGTTGTTCCTTGGAAATTCATTAATTCTTAAAAACTTTTCTCATTTAATTAATTATCAATAAATTAGTTTTCATCACAACGAGTAAACGACAATTGCTTTTAAATATAATAAAATATTATATTATTTTATTAGAGAATTTGCAATCTAAACATTTTATGTTTACCGAGAAGAAAACATTCACTAAAGTTATGCTCAACAAAATGGTGGCCAAGCAAAACAAACAAAATCGCGCGGCGAACACCTTATATATGTCGCCGAAATCGTTACTTATTGTAACTAAAGAAACGATTGTTTTGCATTAGTGCCGGTGTGACATTCTTTTCTGTGTTTGTTTCAAATTTTTCTTTCTTCTTCTTCTTATTCTTCTTTAATAATATAAAATTTAAGACACAATTCTTTTTCTATTTCTTATTCTATAATTTAATTTTTCATTTTTTTTTTTTTTTTTTTTTTTTTTTCAAGCATATTAATATTTTACCAAAAAAACAAAAAAAAAAGTATAAAAAAGTATGCAAACGTACAAGAATTTTTTTATTAAATTATATTGCCTAGGGAGAGATTTAAAAGCTTGACCTTCTGCATAACTATGTACATAAATTAATACATGATTATTAAGAGAATGAGAAAAGAAAAAAAAAAAAAATTAAAGAAAACTTGCTATGTAACAAATTATGCACAATAAAAACAACATTATGTTGTTTTCAGGTGTTTGCCTGTTTGTTTAATGGTTCAATGTACGTGGAGCTGACAATATTGAGCGGTTTAACCTGTTTCGTAATAACGTTAAAACCCATTAAATGATGATAAGAATGCATGATATCAATATAGAGGAATGTATTCTATGAAATTAAGCTAAAGCCTTATGAGATTAATGCAAGGTGACATGTAAACATAAACATTGCTGTAAATCGAGATGGAGATGGAGATGGAGATGGAGATGGGTAAACAGACCCTATTATATATCTATTATTGCAGGAGTGGAGTGTAACATGCGGAAGAACTTTGTTGCGGAAACTGCTTTGTTTATAACTTTGTTTATTTGACTTTTTAATAATAATCTTAGCTCACGAAGTTTTCCCATTTGTGTAATTAATTTGAAGAGAGATTACATTCAAACTCTCTCTCTGTCTCTCTCTCTCTCTCTCTGTCTCTCTTTGATAAGGAACAATGATTAAAAGGAGTGGTGGGGGGGGGGGGGGGGGGGGGGAAGAAAAAAA